GGAAAGGTGAATGGGTGTAGATGCTTTCAAACTTGTTTTTGTTCAAATGTAGCATTACTGACAGTTGTTCAAAGCCTGTGATATATCTGGAGCATCTATCAGTGGAAATATATGCTCATAGCTGTTTGGATCACGACCTGATTCTTAAAAACATTTCAGTTTGGTAGTATGTCTTATATGCATTATTATCCTATAAATTACCCTAAAAATTGCCCTTGGTTTTAGCTCTGATACTGTTACTTTTTGACTTGGCTAAGTGCCTTTCTGATGGCTGTAATTAACATTTCTGCTATCTGCTGCCACATTCATGTTCTCATACCCAATTTATTCTTTGCAGATCAGGAAAAATGTGATGATGATGAGATGGAGCGACTTTACAAGTCATTAGAACAAGCAAGCCTGTCTCCCATTGGTGATCGTCGGCTGTCAACTAAGAAGGAGCTTAGGAAGTCATTTATCAAACGCAGCAAAAACCCCTCCATTAATGAGAAACTCCACAAAATTCGAATGCTGAACAGCACATTAAAGGTGAGGCCGCAGACCAAGACAAGGAAAAGCCTGAGAGAAAGAAACACTTTGACTGAAAAAAGAAGCAAGCCTAGACTTCAGCCAAATTCTAATTACATATTTACTTAAAGCCCCAGAGAATTTGGTTAAGTTTTTGAAATTTTTTTTCTACTTCATTTTGAATACTGATCTATGTTTTGTTGTTAAATTTGAACTGGAAACAGAGGCAATAGTTCAGAAGGGACCCTTCTTGCAGAAGTTCCAGTCCATTTGGAAAATTTAATAAAGAAGCTTCTCTTAGTTAGCTGGAAAACTTGCAAGCTTGGCTGAATGCACTGAACAGGGGAGCCTTAAAGAAGGAAGAGCAGACAAAGTACATTGATGATAAAGGACATGAAAATGACCCTGAGCCAAAAAAAGTTTTCCTTATGTGATTATTGGAGAATGTAGAGGATGTGCCAAAGCTATTGTAAAGACCTCCTGTAACTAAAGTATTTTTAATAACAAAAGCATCCTGCTTTTATGTTGGAAACATATAATGAACTGGAGGGGTGGAGGGGTTCAGGGGATGTTCCATGAAAGGGCCAGTAAATCTGTCTGGAATAGGGGGATTTATGAGCCTGTTTACTCGCCAGCGTCAAGTATCACGGCATTTCAAAGCCTGCTTCTGAATGGTGCTGAGGGAAATAGAAAGCTTAACCATAACGTTTAAATTGTAAGGAGAAGAAAGAATAAATGCAAACCTGGGGCTTTACTTGTTTGCAGGAATTTAGTATCTTGTTTCAAGTCCGTGTATTTGGCTTCAGGCATCGTACACTAGAGAAATGCATGAAAATCTTCTATCAGCACAATCATTGATTTGATTATTAGTTACAATGGAAGGCTTGGCTTTGGCACCCTGGCCTGTGTTATATTTTCTGAAGATACAGTTGAAAAGACAAGTGGGAATATAATCATTCTCCCTGTTGTAGGGCTTCCAGGCTCCATATGAGACCTGGTGAAGTCTCTCCTCAGTATCAAAGTGTCTTCAGTGACATGATACTGACACTAGCAGTATCCATCTGCATCAGCAATAAAGCGAACCCATCATACAACAGAGAGCTAGTTTTAAAAGTGTGCCTATTTTACGTGACAGGAAACTAAATATAGAAACAAACTGCAAAGTTTTCCCCAGTAGGAGCCTCCCTAATAAATCTATGAACCAGTTACTACAAAATGGAGTTGTATGTTGTGGGACAATCAATTTCATTAGTATGGAGCTGAATGGAAGCCAAGAAGCCTTACTGCCAGACACAAGCAAGAAGGGCAGCTTTGCATTGATTTAGTACGGGAGTATTGAATAAATCGTGATTAGCAGTGTTTATAACCTCAGGCTTGTCTAACACTTTATTTAATATGGAAAAATCATTTTTGGAGTGTTCACAGTGTATAAAATGTGTTGATATTTTATTTTTTGCTTTCTTCAGACTAAGAAATTGGACTATTGACAAGACAAATATAGCACAGACATTTTTTCACAGACACAAACAGGCTTCTATATACAGCAGTGTTTAAGTTAGCCTGTCTGAAAGGCAAATGCCTGCAATGGGAAAGTGCCATATTCTATGCATCAGTGGGATTACGTGTTTTTAAAGTAAATTTTCTCAATTTACAACAGGAGACATGGCATAATTGGAAATGATCATAGAATCATAGAATAGTTTGGGTTGGAAGGGACTTTTAAAGGTCACCTTGTCCAACCCCCTGCAACGATCAGGGACATCTTCAGCTAGACCAGGTTGCTCAGAGCCCCATCCAACCTGACCTGGAATGTTTCCAGGGATGGAGCATCTACCACCTCTCTGGGCAACCTGTGCCAGTGTTTCACCACCCTCATTGTGAAAAATTTCTTTCTCAGATCTAGTCTAAATCTACCCTCTTTTAGCTTAAAAAACCATTATCCCTTGTCCTATTGCAACAGGCCCTGCTAAAAAGTCTGTCTCCATCTTTCTTCTAAGCCCCCTTTAAGTACTGGAAGGCTGCAATAAGGTGTTCCTGGAGCCTTCTCTTCTCCAGGCTGAACAACCCCAACTCTTTCAGTGTTTCCTCAGTAGAGAGGTGTTCCATCCTTCTGATCATTTCTGTGGCCCTCCTCTGGACCCACTCCAACAGGTCCATGTCTCTCCATCACCCAAATGATCTACTGGAAATTTAAAAATCGGGAAAGTTTTGTATACAATCCATATTTACTCTGCTTTAACTAAAACCCTATTAGTTTGAGACAAGTGATTTATGCAAGATTCGGTGCAATTTTAATTTTGGACTTTTGACTCCACATCTTTAACAACAGATTAATGTTGCTGCCACAATATATCATTAACAAAACATGGTTTGAATAGCTTGGAAGTGAGGGAAGCTGGGTGCAAACGCATCACAGGCTTAATGAATGTGGGAAATAGCTTTAGTGCTACAGAAAAATTCCACAGCGTGGCTTTTTGCCACCAATTTTGTTCATTGGAAATACTCTTCTCTCCCTTCAACCTCCCTATCTCCTTCTTCTCTTAACTGCACATATCTCTGCATCGATGCCAGAAGCCCTCTTAAAAGGGCTGGCACTAAGTCTTGAGGGTAGCACCTGTGCTGAATGGTTGAACAAGTTTTTGTGTTTCAAAAGCATCTCAGGCATCACAGGGGTTAGAGCGGTTGATAGTTCTTTAGAGTCGTAGTGAGATATGAATGTGTAAGCCACCTATTGCTGCTATCAGGAAATGTTCTGAATGTGTGGGAGTATTTTCAAGGTGTTTTCAAGGCAGCCACTAGCACAAAGTGTCCTCAGGTGTGATGAAACTGGTGGCAGCAGGAGATTTTCACAGAACCATAGGATCATTAAGGTTGGAAAAGACCTTTAAGATCATCAAGTCCAACCGTCAACCCAACACCACCATGCCCACTAAACCATGTCCCGAAGTGCCACATCCACACATTTTTTTTGAACACTTCCAGTGATGGTGACTCCACCATCTCCCTGGGCAGCCTGTTCCAATGCTTGACCACTCTCTCTGTAAAGAAATTTTTCCTAATATCTAGTCTAAATGTTGAGAACTATTCCATTGCTTTCACATACAGACTGTGGGGATGGAGCCAGGCAAAAGCAGTAAAGATTTGTTAGTGCAGCATGGTCCCTCCATTAATTGTAGCTGCTAACTGGGTCTTCTCTACCCTGTGATCCACTGCATGGATAGACATTACAGGCTGGAAAAGTGGTTGCTTTTGTATCAGAAAATGTGAGTACATCAATGAATATAAATACCTCAAAGCAGGCTGTAAAGAAGACAGAGCCAGGCTCTTTTCAGCGGTGCCCAGTAACAGGACCAGAGGCAATGGGCATAAAGTGAAACACAGGATGTTCCATCTGAATATCAAGCAACAGTTTTTTACTGTGAGGGTGACTGAGCACTGGCACAGGTTGCTCAGAAAGTCTGTCAAGTCTCTCCTTGGAGATATTCGAAAGCCATCTGGACATGGTCCTAGGCAGCCTGCTCTGGGTGTCCCTGCTTGAGGAAGGGGGTTGGACCAGATGACCTCCAGAGGTCACTTCCAACCTCAACCATTCTGTGAAATAAAGGGTCTCAGTCTCCCTATATCAGTGACTGTTCATGTCTTACGATTGAATGAGGGTTCCTGCAATATATGGTCTGAGCTGCTCTTGTCTAAATGTAGGGACCAGTTTTGTTAGTAGTAGCTGGAGGTAGATGTATTAGCAGCCACATGTGCTCTAGCCACCCATAAACTCTATTGCCAGTTAATTTTTTAATTGCCAGTAAATTATTTTCTGTCTAGCTTCCAGAGAAGAGACTTTTATAATGTGGCCAGGGAATAAGTATTTTTTGAGAAAGTTGTAATTGGTGTGAATTGCAGAAATAAATGCTGTTGCGTCTAGCTTCATGCAAGTACTAACTTGTTGTGAGACAGCATAACAATGTCTAATTTTCACATCAATCCTCTCTCATGAAGTTTTGCTAGGAATCCTACAAAATAAAAGTCTACATGGAATCATAATCTTGCCTTCAACTGGGATGAATTTCTGCTGTAGGCTTAACTTTGATGATTTACGCTCTAAAAATGGGGACAAGTTGCCAGGAGGATCGATAATTGACCGTATCATTGTGACAGGGTTTTCTAATGTTCCCAGAGTGTTTTGGTTGAGGACAATGAACTTGACAGTTTCTGTGGGAAATAACCGCTTGTTCTCTTCCTAGTGTAAGGAACATGACCTGGCCACAATTAACCAGTTGCTAGAGGACCCAAAGTTGACGGCAATGAAGTACAGAGAGTGGAGGAACACAAACATCATGCTGGTCCAAGACATCTATCAGCAGCAGGAGATCCAGGACATGTCCACAGAGAATAGTGAGGAGCAAGAGATGACTCCACAACCTATTGCTGAAAGTGCTATCTGAGGCCATGGTTCATGGCAAGATTTTTCTTCACGGGTCTTCACGTACAGGCACTTTAAACTGCTGCATTTTGAGGTTTGTTTTTTCTAAGTGTTCTTCAAAAGGAAAGCAACCCCATGTCCAAAGCTTTAATTCCTCTTGCAAAACTTATTTCACATCAAAAGGGTGAATCCCCAAAATTAAAAAAGCATGCCTGAACCTGGACTGCATACCTAAGAAGACTATTTTATGAAGCAGTGAAGAAATGTTTTTCCATCTTAGGAGAAGCAAATTAAATATGTCCAATTCCTGGAAGTCACAGAACTGTATAATATGAACTGTATAAATGTGAGGTCCTTGGGGTTGTTTTAGCCATGTAACTTGCTGTTAAAGGAAGCTACAACAATGCCAACAGGATGCAGTCTACTGTCTACCTTTTTACCCCATAAGGTAACCTGATGTATGTATTTCCATTTCTACATTCATTCCCTTTCACCACTCTACCAGTTTCAACTGAGACAAATAAAATAGTAATTATGCATGAGTTTATACTACAGACAGCTGTCAGGCACCCAGTTTGTGCTCTGCCTGATGCTTGATGAGTTTCAAATTTATTTATGGACTAGACCAAGGTACTGTCTTTCTACATGAAGAAGAGAAGGTCTCTCAATGTTTTCTAGCATGTAATGTACTCTTCAGTGAGGCAGCTAATGCTTCAACAAGTTTCAGCTTTTCTTATGGACTTGGCAGAATTACTTGGAAGATTACTTTATTCTTTCAGAATTCCTTGGAACATTATTTCCTTCTTTCTTATTTTTGGCAATTGTGAGGTACAAGGTCATTCCAGATTCCTACTTAGGAAGGTGATCAAGTTCACAAGGCAGAACCTAAATAATTAAATTCCTGATGTGGACCTGAAAGTGTAAAACATAGCTGCAAATATTTTTGTAAATATATGTCATTTTATGGCTTATATGAATATGACTGTACTGTATATATGTTTTATTTATATATTTATATATGCTGAATTTCCTAATGTAGATGGGCACACATGGAACAGACCCACCCATCTGCTTACATGTTGACTTGAAATGCCTCTTTGTTTTTTGTTCCATTATGAATCACAGTAATGGCTCTACAACTGAGACTACCCTGGGACATCTGCTGTAACTTTTTCTTCATTGTCCTCAGTAGAAGGTTTGGGTTTTTTGCCTTCCCATCTTCTGCATATGTACAAGTATGAGGTACTTTGCAGAGTGCTAAATTTTGAAAAGCAAGGATTAGCCCACCGTTCTTAAATTAATGCCACTACAGGAACTGTGGCAATATTCACTTCTGTTGGCTATTTCATAAAGATATACTTTGTCATTATTTTTAAATGCAGTTTATGTTTTAAAGCAAGATACACTCTACAGATGCAGCCATATTCACTTGTCTTTATACATTGTATGTTTTGTCATAGCTTGATTGAGAAAACAAAAGTTAACAGTGTTAGTGGGAACATGTGAAATCTTTTCCACCTGTGTAGTGATGATGCAGTAATGATACTGCATATCTAACACTCACCAGCTTTCCTTTTGAAATAGAGACACGGCATTATGTCCCAGTGCATCCAAAAATGGCAGTTAAGGCTGTGTTGAGTGTGGACGAGGAGCAGACGCTAGGCTATAAGAAAGGGGGAATAGAAGGAAGAATGTAGGCTCCTTTGATACAGGCTTCAGTGGGAAAGGGTCAGGGGAAACTGGGGCTGGTTGAATACAGAAGCTGGGCTATGCTTGGGGTAGCATCACTGCCTCAGGTATAAAAGGGTTTGGGAGTGTGAGGGTAAGGGCTGATAATATTAGCTCAGGACTTAATAATTAGGGCTAGTCTTCTGGTGGGGAGCAAATGTGAGCTGAGACCTGGAAGTGGGTGATGACTAAATGGGGAAGCAGACATAAAATCTAGGTTGGTTAAAAAGCTATTGTTTTCAGGAAATTGTCATATGGGTGTAATTTCATCACTTCAGTAATTCTAACTAGAAGTTGATAGGAATTAAGCAAGCTCGTTGCAATTTCGTTTAGAGTAATCGCTTCCTGAAAATGGAGCTCATTCTAAGTTTTGTTTTTGTTTTTGTTTTTTTTTTTTAAAATATTTCCCCATCCACAGAAGACCCTCTGGATGGTGGACATCTGTTAGTGTCCCGCTCCTGAATGAATTCTTCAAAGCAGATGTGTAGGTGGGAGAGGGATAGCCCCTGAATTTGACATGATGTCAATTAACTGCTGAGCACACACTGAAAGTTAGGAGTGTAGGGCTTAATCTGCTTGGTGCATCTCAATTTTAACTACTTGGTGCTAAATAATTGGTAAATAATGGAGGTCAAATTGAGCATATTTTTCAGATTTTCCCTTGTAGGTGCAGACCATTCAGTTTCTCATAAAACAAAGCATGTAAACACCACTTTCCTTCAAAAGCATCTTCACTTAGGTGTTAAAAACAGGGATGTGCTTAAGTGGCCTGTTGAACAGAGCCATAGTCGTCAGTGCCTTGCAGTTCTGAGCAAAGTCCTAATCAACTCCGTTTGCTGAAGCAGATTTGCACTATACAAAGGAAAGCAGTATGTGGCCTGTACACGCTGTGTTGACTCTTTTCAGACTGTGCTTGTATAAGCATATGCAAAACTGGTTTCCCAAATACAGAGACAGACAAATGTCCTTGAACCACCCAAACTCTACTATTGGTTTTGATAAGACTATGTAGCTTAAAATAGCTTTTAAATTACTCTTTCAGATGGTGAGTAGATACTTACTGTAGAACTACTGAGTTTTTGAAAACTTGCTGAGGATGGGCTGCGTCACGGTCTTTGAAAATAAGAGAAAATTCTTGAACGGTGTTACTTTAATGCCATTGTTATTTTAACAAATTTCTGTGTGTTCGAGACAACAAATGTACGAGTTTTACGTACAAGTGCAGCGCTGGGAGTCATCTCCATTCTCTTCAGTTACTATTTAGACCCAAGGCAAATGGAAAGTTTGGGAAATGTGAAATGAAAATTGTAGTAAAACAGGATTCATTTTCCAGCACCACTAATCGATGTGCCAGTTCTCACCCGGTGCTGGATTCGTCACAAGGGACTGCGCAGGAAGGTGAAAGCCACGGTCGGAGAAAGACGTGTGCACAAGCCGACAGCTTCAATTAGCGGATGCGGCGGGGAGCCACCTCGGCAGGAGAAACTTGGACGACTCTGTGCTCCCCTCGGTGACACTTAGGGTTTGGTCTGAATTTGGAAAGCCTGCACTACTGACTATTAGCGCAGGGAAACTGTGCATCCCTAGTGAATGTCTAAAAGTCTTTAACCATCTGCCTCATGGGACTTGTTTTATGTACTTTTTCAGGAGAAAATGTGTGTGGATGTGTGCACGTGCACACTTATTCCTTTGTCAGTAAAGCCTTTTCGTATTGGTGCAGCTATGTAGATTTTGGAGTAACTAATGACAATATCTAATTTCAGCTGTTTCTGCAGCCTGCCTCTGGTGGCTTTTCTGGATATCGAATCTCTCTGTTTTGGTGGTGTATATCTCATGAGCTACAAGAATGAGCTGGGATCACATTTTCTTTCCCAAGATGAAGGAGGTTTCATGTGGGGACAGTGAATCGTTTCTGCATCTAGTTCTGATGATTTACTCAATACTGGGTTTCAGCTGAAACAGGAATAAGCAGGAATAAATGATGTGCTACAACATTCCCACCCCCGTCCTCCTCCCCCCGGTAACTTTTTTGAGTAAACTATCATATTGAGAGAAAAAGCTGTTTTGGGACAGCCAGGGAGGGGCGGGATGGAGAAATGAGGTGGTATTTGATTTAAAACTATGTAGAATTTCAGAATTTAAAATGACTTCTAACTAGGAAAAATTATGGGCATGCTGCATCTATTGTGTAAGCCTGTAAGATTACATGTCTATTACAGATATAATATAAAAAACTTGTATTTTTCAACTCTTAAACTAGCAAGAGAGTCCATGTAAGCATGCTTCTGTGTGAGGAACTCCATGTACTGGGGTTGAAGTTTGGGTGGGCTTTTTTTTTCTTTTGCTTTTATAGGTGGCACAAAAGCTACCAATTGCAATGAGAGCCTGGGTTTACTTAATTTATGAGACATGTCTTTCTGTTAACAGGAAGCCAAAGTGGTTTTATCGTAGTGGTAGAGCCAAAGTGGTATTTCCTGTTCTGTGTGGGGCATTTCGAAGCAGAAGACATTTTAAGATGTCAGTCAGTATTTCCTTGATGGCTTGAAGATTTATCCTGTTTCGGTCTGCTCCAAGCTGCCACATTCTTGGATTTTTAAGAACCAGTTTTATTATTAACTAAAACAAAAATTGATGTGGAAAAAGAAAAGGAAAAACAGAACAAAAAAAAAGTCTGAGCTAAAATCAGGCTGCAAGTCTTTTCTCTGTGCGTAAGGGTAATGTGAGTTAAGCTTGCCAAAAGCTAGGCATTTCAACACTGAAAAAAGATTGTCAGGTGTTGAGGAGAGTACTACATTCCTTGAATTTTGCTATGGAAGAAGTTCCAAGACCTGTCTGCTCTGGAAAAATTAATATTTTTCTAATTTATTTCCTCCTGGTAAAAATCAAAAGGGAGTGGCTTATAAGGTGTCAGAAAGTTAAAAATGGAATAGGCATAAAATTCATTGATAGTTCACCAACCTTGATGCATTACCTTGAAATGATCGATTTAGATGACTTGGCCTTTAAGGCAGAAAATCCATTTCTTTGGGAAACCAGTGTAGCTGTCACAGTGTCTGAGGCTTATGTATCCCATCTGGCTCACATGAGGTCCATTTTGAGGATGTAGGTGTATGGCATTTCTATAGGGCCAATAGGTTGCATCATCAGACCGTAGCTTAGGAACCATGTGAACTCTAACGCTCCCTATGCCCTAGATACCTTAGGACCTACCCAAATTATTCTGATTCTTGAAGTTGCTTATGGCAGTTTTACCTTCCCCATCTAAAAATAAAGGGGACATGAAAATATGTCTCC